CCTGTGATCCGCTACTGTGTTAAAACACAAAATCAGAAAACTGTTAGAAGAATAAAAGAAACTGAAAAACAGTAAAGAATAAGAAATATTCCGAGTCCACAATTTTCTTGTGCGTCCTTAAGGAATTTTAACCCCCTCATACGTTGCCAAGGTAATGGATTAAATCCTCCCAGGATGAAACGGAATAAACCTTCCTGCAACAGTGGCAATACAAACTGCAGGATACCAACGAACTCAAAGAACGGAGCAAAATCACACTTACGAATTTGAGAGAGAGAGACTGCGAATTAGAATGCAGTATTTTCAGAAAGAAGGAAGTGTTGTAATTTTTCAGTGTATTAAAAACGAAGCCACGCCTCAGAATTTATAGGCAATTATTGGAAGAGGTGTGATGTTTGTTCTGGAAAAAGTGTCTGTTCAGAAGTTTGCGCGTCCTGCCGCGGTTACGCCAGGACCGCAGCCAGAGTGGCCTTCTGAATCTGCAGCAGTGTTTTGGTATCCTGCAGTTTGTATTGCCACTGTTGCAGGAAGATTTATTCCGTTTCATCCTGTAAATTAATACTATTTAGAAAGTAAGACTATCAACTTTTCTTGACTCATTTGATTCCCGCAATATTATTTTGGTTCCGCTATTGTGTCTCTTATTCTCTTAATCTTTTCTTGTCTCACTCCTTTCATAACGAAGCATCCATGTTGCTCTCCCTCGTACCCATAACTATTGTAAGAAGAAAAGATTAAGAGAATAAGAGACACAATAGCGGAACCAAAATAATATTGCGGGAATCAAATGAGTCAAGAAAAGTTGATAGTCTTACTTTCTAAATAGTATTAATTTGCCTATAATATATATCATGTATCTAAATAATTGCTTTTATTATATCTATTTTTGATACTGAAAAGTTCAATATTGGACTAGAGAAACCATGAAAAGTTCATCTGCTTGAAAGAAGAAGAGGAGTGTTACGGCCCAAATTCCATTTTAAGTCGTGATGGCGTCCAACACCGTGGTTAGGCAAGCCAACCCTAACAACTAGTGAGTTCTCAATAGTATTAAACATTTCCAACATTCCCTTAACTTATATTTAAAACAGACGATAATTGACAATTTCATAACAGTAGAAATACAACCCAAAAATGATAGTCTACTAATGTGTGTGCCAGAGACTAAAGTCACAAGTACTAGGGCAACTAGTAGAATGTACAAAAGAATACCACTATCCTACTGCTTGAAACAGAATAGATAGTACATAATAACAACAAAAGAAGAGAAACTCTGGTATGCTGCTGAACGGCTCAGAAACGGGCAGCTCATTGTGAGATCTCAGTCAAGTATCAGAAACGTGTGTCGGACTGGTAGCTAGATGCACGTGCCTCAGATCCTGTAAATTTAAGTACAAAAGCGTAGTATGAGTACATAAACAACATGTACCCAGTAAGTATCCAATCTAACCTCGAAGAAGTAGTGACGAGGGGTCGACTTGACACGTACTAGGGTCGATAATAACATAATTTAAGTATTACGCTAAGCATGGATGTCATAAATAAATAACAGTTGATAACACGAAGTGACAAGCTTTTTCATAGATAACATTTCAGTTAAAAATCCATATTCCAAGGCATTTTAGACAATTCAAATCCCAGAAAGTACCGGGCAAGTAGCATGCGCAAATAATGTCGAGGTCGTACGGCTAGATCCAACATAAAAATAAAATGTGCACCGCCAGAGGGTCGAACGGCGCGAACCATAAATGCATCTATTATCTCGCTCGCGAATCATATGTGACGTGGTCAATCACAATTAAACATATCAATCAATCAATCAATAGTTTTATCAGGAAGGCAATCATCCAAAGTAATGTCAAGTTTATCTTTAACGGTAAAGAAAATGATGTTTGACTTTCTAGAAATCCATTTGCCAAGTTCAATATGATTGAAAATTTTTGAATTCACAATAGAATTACAAATATAGAAAGTAAAGCATGCTTTTGGGTCCTAGACTACCCGGACTTAAACATAATAGTAGCTACACACGGACTCTCGTCACCTCGTGCGTACGTAGCCACCGCAATTATTGGCAAATATTCAATTATTTCTCCTATGGGGATAATTCCTCTTACAAGGTTAGAAAGAAGACTCACCTTGCTCCAAAGCTTACTTCCAATAGCAAGAGCGCGCTCAAATCCTCAATTCGGAGCCGCGATCCAAAACCAATCAATCGGGGTAAGAACTAATCAATACACACTCGAGAGTTCATATTCTAACTATTAAAGTAATTTTCCAACCCTAAATACAAGTTTCCTAAAATTCATCCCCGGACCCACGTGCCCGGATTCCGAAAATTCTCGAGGGAAGTTGTTACCTATAACCTAAGGATTAAGAATATGTGATTTTTACTTCATTCCATAACAAATTTTGTGGTAAAATTTTATTTTTATCAAAACCCTAGGTTTTACTATAAACCCACAACTTTTACTAGTTTACAAGGTGTAATCTACCCCTAAACTATGTATTAAACTCACATTATGTAGAAATAACTTACCTTACAATGCTAGGCCGAAACCCCCTCTTTGGAAGCTCCCAAATCGCCCAACAATTGAATGAAATGTGTCAAAAATGACACACTTCCCGTATTAAATGAAGGCACTACCTTCTGTGATTTCCGCACCTACGGTTAGGGGGCCGCATCTGCAATCTAGCTTCTGCGAGGAAGTGTCCGCATCTGCGGACTTTGCTTGGGCTGGCTAGGGGACGCATCTGCGGTCTGGGGCCACTTCTGCGGTTCCACTTCTGCGGAAAAGGACCCGCATTTGCGGTTCCTAGGCTCCTCCCCTGGGGCCGCAACTGCGAAGGGTTGACCGCTTCTGCGGTCTCGCACCTGCGGCTGGCCAACCGCAGGTGCGGTTATGACAGCAACCTGTAGCTTCAGCTCTCTCCTATTTTTTCTTACTCAACTCGAGCCTCGTCTGATTGACGCTCGGGGCCTCCGGGGCCCCGCCCTAACATACCGACAAGTTTGAAATAATAAAACGGACTCGCTCGAACCCTCGGAACGCATGAAACAATGCTAAATCTAATAATCATTCCCTAAAACCAATTGAATCAAACTTATGAACTTCAAGTTCTTCAATTCACATCCAAAGCAACGAAACACACTTATACTACTTAGATTGACACCAAATTTTGCGTGCAAGTCTTAAATGACAATACGGGACTATTCTCGATCTTGGAATTCCGTTCGGACCTCGATAACACAAAAACTCGCTCCAAACCAAATTTCAAGAACTTCAAGATTCTTAAAGAACCAACTTTCACTATTAGGGGCCAAAACGCTCCCCGGTCATCCAAAACCCGGTCCGGTCATACATCCAAGTCCAAAATCATCATACGAACCTGTTGGAACCTTCAAATCCGGATTCCGATGTCGTTTACTCAAAATGTTGACCGAAGTCAAACTTGGCCTTTTAAGCCAACCTTAGGGAACCAAGTGTTCTGATTTCAACCCAAACTCTTCCAAATCCTGAACCAACAATCCCCGCAAGTCATAAATCAGTAAACGCAAGTACAAGAAGTCTTGTTTAGGAGAACAGGGTTCTAGAAAGCAAAACGACCAGTCGGGTCGTTACATTCTCTACCTCTTAAACAAACATTCGTCCTCGAACGAGTTTAGATTCATACCTGAAGTGTTGAATAAGTGCGGATATCTGCTCCGCATGTCCTCCTCTGCCTCCCAGGTCGCCTACTCAACAGGTTCGCCCCTCCACTAGACCTTTACCGCATGAATCCTCTTGGTTCTCAACTGGCGATCCTGTCTATCAACAATGGCAACTGGCTCCTCCTTATAGCCCAAGCTCTCATCTAGCTGAATAGTACTGAAGTCTAATACATGAGACAAGTCGTTGTGATACCTCCGAAGCATAGATACGTGAAAGACTGGATGAACTCCCGATAAGCTGGGGGGGGGGGGGGAGGTAAATCAAGCTCATAGGCAACCTCCCCAACTCACATCAACACCTCAAAAGGGCCTATGAACTTGGGGCTCAACTTTCCCTTCTTCCCGAATCTCATAATGCCCTTCATCGGTGAGACTTTCAAGAGAACCTTCTCACCGACCATGTATGATACATCCCGCGTCTTCGGATCTACATAACTCTTCTGTCTAGACTGAGCTCTGCGAAGCCTCTCTTGATTCAACTTTACCTTCTCCAAGGCATCTCTCACCAAATCCGTACCATACAACTTAGCCTCACCAGGCTCGAACCACCCGATAGGAGAATGGCAATGTCGACCATATAAAGCCTCAAATGGAGCCATATCACTACAACATTTTATGCCTTTGACTACCCCGAAAAAGCGTGGCCTAAACTAGCAAAAAGTGTGGTCTTTGGTCAAAGGCCACACTTTTCGACTTTAGGCAACGCTTTTCTGGGGGTGGCCAAAAGAAGCGTAACCTTTGACCTAAGGGCACGCTTTTCAAATGTTACCTTACAAGTCACGCTTAAAAACGTGGCCTATTAGTCAACAAAGACAACGCTTGTTACGCCCCATATGGCACCGCTTTTATACCCTACAACTACACTCAAAAAACGTAGCCTTTATTACCTTTTAGGCCACACTTGTTAACCGTGGCTTTTAAAGGAACACCTACAAAGCGTGGTCTTTGCTTATATACATGCTAGACGTACAGACAAATGGCCACACTTTTAAAGCGTGGCCATTTTGTCTAGGCTACAATTTTTTCTTTCTTAAAATTTTAAAAAATTACAGTGTACATATATCATGTAATTACAATTATTTCAAACACATGCATTATTATCATATATTTTGATGATATAAAGAACTAAATTAGCTAATAAATACCAAAAATAATAATCCAAAAGAATACACATACTAATAAAACAATGTGTCAAAATGCCCATTAACAATAAACTTTCCAAAAGTGAGTATATTCATATAGTATCATGAATATAAGATATCTTAATTATTCAAAAATTCTTCGCATTCACATTACGATCAAATTGACTTTCCGCCACCATTTCCAATTGCATCGCCCACTTTCTCCTACACATAAAAAGAAATTAATAATTATATAGAAACTAAATTTTGATGCTCGTCAAGAAGAACAAAGACTTTGTATAGTAGCACCATGTTTTGCATATTTTTCAGTCACATATAAAAAACTAAATTTTTTCATAAGAAAAGCAAGAAATGAAGTGAACATAAAACCTGAAAAGAACATATTCAATCCTAATATGTTTCATATACTATGTTTTTTGTCCAAGCTAAAAAGCACAACACGTGGGGTTCTCGTTACATATTACTCTCATTTCAGTACAACATCTCATCAGTCAAAGATGCCATTTATTTGCTATGAGAATTCTTAAATCCTTTACTAGGAGAAGATTGGGCTCTTTGAAGTCTCAACCATTGACAAGATTCATGGATAGGGAAGGACAAAGATAAAGCAATTGGAAAGTTTAATATAAATGTGTACAGAAACAAAACTGAAGAAACTAACTTATCTATCTGCTGATCATTACTTGTTGAGCATGTCTGAATCTCAGACTTCTATAAAACTTCCCATTTTCGACATCTCGGGGCCTTTTAGTTCATCCTCCCTTAAGTCTCTTTCTTTAGCTTGTAAAGAATGGGGTTTCTTTCACATCAGCCACTGTTTTCCACTAATTTTATATATTTGCTTTTCTTTACTTCTAGAATTGATTCTTCTGTCAATTCATATGTTTATTTTCATGACTCTAATGTTGTTCTATTTCACTTTGGGATGGTAAAATGAAATAAAACTTTACCACAAAAGGAATATCTGGATTCTATCTCTAGCTGGATCACTTCACTCCTCCCTCCAAGAGCTTAAGCTAGCGTTGGGCCAATTGAAACTTGAAAAAAGAGTTTTTCAAGTTGTAAATACAATTGCAAATACAACTCCAAACAACCACCAAAATTGCTGCACAGCTCCAGCCAAAAAGCCTACTAAAATGCAACCTAGACAACCATAAAAAGTGGCCACAAACTCTAGCGAAGCACCTCTAAACTTCAGCTCTAAATCATCCCCAAAACGACCCCAATATACCAGTGAAAAGCAGCCCCAAAAATGACCTTTTAACACCCAAAAACTGACCGAAAAGCAAGACAAGTTGGAGTCTAAATACCTTTTCAAGAATTGGACCACGGGTTGATCCAGAGGAATGCGGGAGATTTTGGCCTCTTACAGCTTGTGCGCTACTTGCATCAACTGGAGAAGGTTGGTTAGATCCAACAAATCCTGGTATATTTGAACAAAAGTTCAGGATTGTTTTGCACCAATAGATCAAAGCAATGACGCATTTGCCTCAATTCTTGCATTTCTTCTCTCATTTCTTGCATTTCTGCTTTCAAAGTAGAGACTTCATTGTTATGCTTTTGTTGGATCTTATTGATTTCCTCGTCTTTTTTATGAGAACTTGTTGTCACTGATCTTCCATAGCATCGTATTCGACCAGGTTGCTCCTTTCCAAACACTGCTCTAAATGCTTCATCCGATGATTCCCAAGCGTTTTGACGGTTTTGAAGTTCAGACTGCCAAAAAAAAATTATGAGAACCATATAAAGAATCTAAGCCCCAGAAAATATATTAGTTGCAATATGGCTTACTATTGCAATTTGAGCATCTTCATGAACTTGCTTCCCTTGTTTTGTACGAGTTGCAATAAATATTTCAGACTTAGATGGTTCCTCGTTGTTCTCTTTACTTGCACGCTAAAAATTATACCAGATAAATAAATAACAAACATAAATGTATTCAAAAAAAGTATGTAAAGAAATGAAAGCCATATTTTTCACAAAGTATCGAATAAATACCAATGCCACGCGTACTCTTGCAAAATTAATAGGTCCCATCTGATGCCTCCACTTTTGTTTTTTTTCTATTTTCATAATTTAAGTTGCACATGGCCTAGCACCAAAAGAAGTTTACCAATTAGTAAATCAAAAAGGAAAAAAATATAATGCAACAATATGTTCAAGAGTAGAAATGCACAGTTTAATCTCACTTGAACATCTGAATTCCTCCAATACTCAATCAATTGGAGGAATTGAACTTCTGGTATCTCAGCGGGACGTTGTTTTAGCATATCTTCAATAGTATCTTCGCTCATGACTATTAACTTCAAGCTCATGCTCTCTACACATCAAGTATTGTTTTTTGTTAGCAAAAATTATATAAAATAATTTCAAAATTATCCATATAAAAGAAAATACTACAAATGAGTTAAATTACCTAATATATTCTTGAATTTCAGCACAATTGTTCAATATGTATCTATGTGCTTGACTTAGTGACTTGTCGTCTAGATNAGCAAAACTCCAAAAACACTACTTCATTCAAGTTTTCTCTAGATTAAATCTGAGTTTCAGCTTTAGATCACATTTTCAAGTTCATAGAAAGTCCAAAAATAGTTCGAGTGCTTCCAGATTTCATTAATTCAAGTGTAGAAAGATTTTGAGTTAAATTCAAGTTTGCTCGGGCTTAGATTGATCTGTTTTCAATAATTTGTTGTGGTTTATTCTTCTACAAATCATTCCTGGCTTGCTGTGGTATTTCTGGAATCAAAATTGATCCAGTTGCTTTGAATTTGGGCTGCTGTTAGCTACTGCCTTGGCTGATTTCCCTCTTCTTCACTTTTATTCTATTTCCAGGTATACTTTTATGCTCAAGTGGTGCTGAAGATTACATCCATATGTAGAAATCCATTTTGAAGTTTAAATGATGAGGAAATACTTATTTGCGCCTGGATTTTTTTTTTCTATCTAGAAATTTAGTTTAATTGATCTATTTTGAACCATATTTCAGTTGTATTAATGAAACTGTGGACTGTACTGGACTGTTAGAATTTGAGTTCAAGTGTGTTCATTCTAAAATAGTAGCCCTAGTGTAGTATAATTTGGTTTCTCATGAAGCTGTATTTTAAAACAGGAAATTGAACTTGAAAATCAGCTGGAAATTGAACTTGGAAATTGGTCTGGTAATCGTTTGTCAGTAGTGGCTTCAGTAGTTTAGTTCTAAAATTAAAGGATATACGTTTGGGCTTAAGGTTTGAATATAGATGTGGACTGTTTTGTATTAGCTCCTTGAAATCTGACTCCAGAATTGTTAATGATATGGATTGTAGTTAATGATATGGATTGTAGCTAATTGCCTGTGGATTAAAATTGTTTCATTCTCAGTCTTTGTTTCAAGTTGAAAGCTTAAACGTTGAGCCCTGTATTCTTCTAAACTTGAGCCTGCCACAATTCACCTTGCACCTTTGACGATTTCGGGCCTTGCCCCAAAGCCTAGGCCCCTGAAAAGCCACGACAGCCTCATACTGAGACCATGGAGTCTCAATTCAGGCTTGTTGATTACACTTGGGCCTGTACAGAGGCCCATGATGGACTGATGTTATCGCATTGAATCGAATCCATCTGAATACTTAATCACGGTTCATTGACATGCTAATTAGTTAAGGCCCAGTAGAGACAACACTTAATAGAAAAATCATAGTCCTTTTAGGTTGACCTTAAAATAAATGAGGTGCGCGGCGCCAAATAAAATCACAAATTGCGTGGCCCTCTTTAAGTACTTACATAAAAATCTTTTAGTCCTCGGGATGGGCCATTTAGCGAATTTCATGGCCTCCCGCAAAGTTAATAATACGCTAGTTGCTTTAGGTCCGACATTTAATAATATTACCTTCCTAAATTCGGGTGCACATTTATGTGACCGAAATCCAAATTCCAACGAAGTTGAAATGTGTCGAAGACTACGGGTGCATTTATGTGACGTGGTTCGAGACGTATTTTCACGACGTTGCAATTCTCTTTAAAATAATAATAATAAAAGCAGTTCAAAGTTAAAAGCATATAAGTTGAAAGCATGTTTTTAAAATCAGACAAATAAGCCAAATATGACAGTTGAGCGACCGTGCTAGAACCACGGAACCCGGGAATGCCTAACACCTTCTACCGGGTTAAAAGAATTCCTTACTCGGATTTCTGGTTCGCGGATTGTTATACAGAGTCATTCTTTTCCACGATTCGGGATTCAACCAGTGACTTGGGAAACCATAAATCTCCCAAGTGGCGACACTGAATCTCTTAATAAATGAATCCCGTTTCGGTTGTCCTTTAATTGGAAAAACTCCTTTATGCCCTTGCGGGCGTAGTAAAAAAGGAGGTGTGACAGGTGCGACAGTATTTTGGAGAGTCCGCGCAACATAGTTCTAGTAATAATCTAATAGCATAATAAAAAATAAAAAAAAGAGAATAAGAATCGCTTACCTAGTCATGACACTTATCTTAGGCCAAAAACAACTTCAAGTTCACCACAGGTAATCTAGCAGAGGCTTTAAAAATTATCAAAAGTTATACATATAAAACTTATCAAGTAATTTACACATCGAAATATAGTTCCACTATATCAAAAGTTATACTTTCATGCCTATGCTCAGAAACAATGTGCAGAATCCAAAAATAGTGTGCAGCAGAAAACGCAAAATTTGCCTAAATGATGTGCAGAAATGCTGAAACGCTGTCCAGAAATGCAGAAAATGCAGTAAGACTGTGCAGAGTCGCAGAAATACTATGCAGACATGCTGAAACACTATGCAAAAATCCAAAAAATGCAGAAACTCTGTGCAGAATCAAAAAATAGTGTGCAGAAATGCAGAAAACGCATAAACACTATGTAGAAACGCAGAAATTACTGAAATGATGTGCAGATTTGCTGAAACGCTGTGCAGAAATACAGAAAATGCAAAAACACTGTGCAGATCCGCAAAAATACTATGCATAAATGCTGAAACACTGTGCAAAAATGCAGAAAATGCAGAAACACAGTGCAGAAATGCAGAAAACGCAGGAACACTGTGCAGAAACGCAGAAATTGCCGAAACGCTATGCAAAAATGCAGAAAATGCAAAAACATTATGTTGAATCGCATAAACTTTGTGCAGAAATGCTGAAACAAATGAACTTAGAAAATATAAAATAAATCGAGAAGAGAACATAAGAAGCGAACAAATGAATAATAGAAATAGTTGAAATAGACAAGAAAGCATCGACAAGCAAATGTCATCAGTTTGACATCTAAAGCATGAGTTTTTAATGTCTCTCTAGTTGTTAATCAAACAATAACTGAACTATTTTTCTAGATGAACATATTACAAGCATTCAACTTCTCAATTAGAATCAAATTCATGATGTATCCTCAACTTCACCACAGGTAATCTAGCAGAGGCTTTAAAAATTATCAAAAGTTATACATATAAATTTATCAAGTAATTTACACATGGAAATATAGTTCCATTATATCAAAAAGTTATAATTTCAACTCAGTTCTGTACAAATTCTGTGAATTGTGACCCCACCTTCTAAATGAACACTCAAAATAGCAGGAATTCTCTTAACTTAAACACAAATTTCACATGTAGGTGTCATATGTGGAAAGGTAAAAATTAGCTGAAGTAATACTTACTTTGTCAAGCACTAAATCACGTGGTAGAAATTATCTAAAATATGTTTTGAGCAGATCTGATCAACTCTTTCTCGGCAACTTCACAGCCAACTTTCAGTAGCATAGAAATAAATCTCACAATCTGTAATTTAAAACAATATCGATAAGAACACAAAGATAAAGGCTGACCTGAGATTGTCAACATAATAATTTAGCAAAGCTGCAAAGATAATTGGACATATATGCTAAGATTCTCTACTCAGATAAAGTGTTGCCTTTAGTATTACAAATATAGTCGCTTGAAAGAGTAGCAATAAATATAAAAAGGTACTGCTAATTGTTTTAAGATTTGCGTACATCTTTAAAGCGTCATCTATACTTCCTAAGGGCACACTTTACCGGCATTGTTAAATTTTGCGTGGCCAAAAGACGTAAACAAAGGCCACTCCTATAAAAGCGTGCCTATAGATAGTATTGACCACGTTTTTCAAGCGTGGGAAAAACTAGCGTAGCCTTAGACCAAATTTGTTGTAGTGAAAGTGAGGAGTATTATATTATGGCTTTAAATACTTGGAAAGATTTGCATGTGAACACTAATAAATTTTGTATCTTGGGAGAAACCTTAATGGCGTGTGGAATAGTTTAATCCACGTTTTAAATTATTATAAATTCCCATCCCAAATGTCTATTTATAGTTGAAAATCTTGATAACTCTCAACATTCCACCACAACTATTACTTCAATCTCAACTTTCTGCCTTACTGGTTGCTTCGGTTTCTTAATACTTAGTTCTTTGTTGCTCGGATTCGTCAAAAAAGAGAAAATATTGTACCTTATGGCTGGAGGACCAAGAATAAGAATAAAGGTGGAGTCTCCAACATCTGAGTTCTATACTGAAGTGAGAGGAAATAGTACAGTAAAAGAATTAATGAAGATAATCATAAAGGTATGGGGAGATGAATACATGAGTGTTTATCACAAGTCTACAAAAATGAAGAGTGATCAACCTCTATCTGCTTACAATATCAAAGATGGCTCTATTGTCAAAATTAAAGTTTTTGCAGAACCTCCTGAAGAGCCAGTGAGTGTAATCCAAATCCCAAAGAGAGATTGCCCAAGCAGCTTAAAGTTAATAGAAAATAACAACAAATGTAATTTATTTGGTTTTCTTTGGTTTCATAGTGTTTCCTGAGGGGTATATCTCTCCAGTTTTATGTAATTTATTGATTTTTTCAAACTGATATAAATATATGTTATACCTTCTCTCACAATACTATTAAATAAGGACAAGATTATATAAATTTTTACGAGATACTAAACTAGCCAAAGCGTAACTCAACAAAGCAAAGCAAGACTATACTACAGACAAAGGAAATAGTGCAAACAAAGGAAATAAGATTACTTATATGCGAACAACAATACAAAGAGATTAATCAT